CAACCCCCCCCCCCCCCCCCCCCCCCCCCAAATGACCTCTTTTTGGAAAGTAGACACCCCAAGGAATTTAAAAAGAGGCACAGTGAGTATTTTTCAGATCTCATTTTTTCTCACAAGGTTTTGAAATATAAAAAAAGAAAAGAAAACTTGTGGCAACAAGTGAAAACTGCAAAATACTCACCATGCTTCTTATCAAATTCCTTGGGGTGTCTACTTTCCAAAAAGTGGTCATTGGGGGGGGGGGGGTTGGTGCTATCCTGGCATTTCAGGGCCTCCAAAACTGTGATAGGTAGTCAGGAAGTGTAATGAGGAAATAAAGCCCTTTAAAAGCCTGAAGGTGCTTATTGGATTTTGGGGTCCTGTACTTGGCTAGACTGCCAAAACGTCTCTCACATGTGGTACCCCCATACTCGGGAGAAGTAGCAGAATGTATTTTGGGGAGTAATTCCACATATACCCATGGCGTGTGTGAGCAATAAATCATTTAAGTGGCAATTTTGTGTAAAAAAAAAAAAAAATCTTTTTTTGTTTGTCATTTTCCAAAAACTTGTGGTAAAAAAATAAATTCTTCTATTGATTCAACATGCCTCTCAGCAAATAGTTTGGGGTGTCTACTTTCCAAAAAAGAGTCGTTTTGACGGGTGGGGGCATTTTATGCCCAGCATTAGAAGTTTATGCCACACATCATTCACTCTTCTAACCACCTTAAGACCAAGCCTTTTCTGACACTTTTGAAAAAAAAAAAATCAGTATTTTTTGATAGGAAATTAATTTAAACCCCAAACATTATATATTTTTTTAAAGCAAACGCCTTTTAATGTGCACAAACACAGTATATTGGCCAATTATTTGGTAACATATAAAAGATGATGGTATGCTGAGTAAATAGATATCAAACATGACATGCTTTAAAACTGTGCATGCCCCGTGCAATGGCAACAAACTGCACACATTTTTAATATCCATAGGCAATGTTTTAAAAACCTTTACAAGCTACCATTTTAGATTTACAGAGGAGGTCTAGTGCTAGAATTACTGCCCTTGATCTGACATTCGTGGCGATACCTCACATGCATAGTGTAACTGCTGTTTCCATACTGGCACAGGGTCAAGGCTCACGAACGCAGGGGGGGGGGGGGGGGTTTGAGGGTACTTTTTTTTCAAGTTATTTTGATATTTTTAATTATTTTTTTACACTGTCTCTTTTTTTTTTTAGCACTTTTAATGCTATCACAGGGAATGCAAATATCCCCTATAACCAATGGGCATTGTCATATATTCTTTTTTCAGAAATCTGGCTTCTATCAGACTCTAGATATCCCCATTCCCTTACATTATCTAATCAAACCAAGATCGGTGTGATCAGATGCTTTCCCAATTTACAAATGGCATTGTTTATATCCTGCGAAACTGAACTGATGAAATGCTCGTAGCTTCTGATTTCTTAGGCTATATAGATGATTGGCATCATTCTGGTCTCCAATCAGCTCTATGGTCAGCTGGCAGAAACACCGGCTGCATTCTCAGGTTCCCCCGATGGCATGGGACTGCCCGAGAAGGCCGTGGAAGGCAGCGGGGGAGGAGGGGCATTGTCTCCCGCTGCTTGTAAAAGCAATCCTGCAGCTAATTAGCCACTAGGATTGCTTTTACATGAAAGCCGATCACTAGCTGAAAAAAAATGATACCAGGATGATGCCTGCAGCTGTAGGCATCATCCTGGTATAACCATTCAAAGTCCAGTGATGTACCAGTACATCGCTAGTCCTTGTTGGGTATATATGCTATGTTCTTTTTTTTTTTTTTATATGCAGCCTGTGGACTGAATGAAAAAAAGAGAAGAAATCTCTACCAAAAAAAAAAAAAAAAAAAGTGTGTGGTATTCCTACCATTAAAATATACCACCCTGCATCCACCCACTTCTAATGGTGGGCACACATTAGGTCACACTTTGCCACATTCCAAGATTGTACAAATGTCTAAATAGCGGCATGCTTGAATAAAAATTGTCCATGTATAAGTGGCACCCCATATGGAAAAAGGATGACACCAAGTCCCAAACTATCTTGCCACTGCTCCCCATGTAGTCTGGGCATCCGGGCGGGCTCCACGTGACTATCTATTCACTCGTAAATCCGAAACTTATATGTATAGCCTGTTGTCCTCTCACAGGTCTTCTACATCTTGACCCCATATCTGGCACGCTTGCTGGGAAAAAATTGTTTGAATGCAAGGCGGGCAGAAAAATTAATGAGGAACTCATCAACGCAGATGTTTTGCTGGGGAGTATAGACATCTGCAAATTTTTGGTTAAGGTGATTTACGAGGGGACGAATTTTGTGGAGAAATTCAGGGTCACCTCAAGGACGACAGAGTGTATTGTCGTTGAAATGCATAAAACACATTATACTCTCATATCTATGCCTGGCCATGGCAGCAGAGAACACGGCATATGATGGATGGGATCTGTGGGCCAATACAACTGCAATTAATTTTTTTTAGTAATTTCCATGTTGAGGGTTAGGCCCAAAAAAAATATAAATTCGAAAACCGTACTGGGATTCCATGCGAATGGTCTGGCAAGGTTTGAATTTTGGTTGGTGGCGATACATTGTTGTGCATATAAAATGCTTTGTCCACAATCAATGCATACAGATGTTCCGTGAAAAACAGCTCCAAAAAATCAAGGGGAGTAGTTAAATTTGCTATTTCCACCTGAATTCTGGGTTGGGCAGTGAATGGGGGAAGTACAGGTGCTGCAGAATTTGTAGGTTGCCAATCGGAAGGATACTAGGAGCTCTATGGGCCTGTGTGCGAATTCTTGGTGGTTGCGGGACAATACTTGTGCTCACCACTGTATCAGCTTGTACTGCACTTATGAGACACGCCACATTGCCAAGTGATACTGCAGTGCTGGTATTATTATTATTATTATACAGGGTTTATACAGCGCCAACAGTTTGCTCAGCGCTTTACACTATAACGGGAGACAATACAGCAACAATACAAGAGGGTTAGGAGGGCCTGATCCTGGGAGCTTACAATCTAAGAGGTATGTGAAAGACCAGGATGTACTAGACCGCTGGTGCTCGCCAGTTCACCAAAAGGTAGCGTGGCACTAGTCCTGGCACTCTGCTGCATATGAGAGTCATCAAAATTTACCGGCAAGTGCTAACAGAGATCAGGCCTGATTATGCCAACACTGCGATTTTGTGTGCAATGTATAAAGTGACAGTGACCTACTGGCACTGCACTTGCTGGGGGAGAAGGGGAGGGGTAAGCGTAGGGGCTAAATGCAGGTGCTGGCAGATGCCGGGGCTGATCCCGCTAATGCTGCATTTTTGGGGACGCTATACTAATGTGAACGCTGGTATAGTGCTGATCTGATCAAAGATATTCATCCGTTCAGACACTATACTAGCAATGGAGGTTTATTGTGTATAAGCGTCTTCCTGGCAATCAAGGGGTTAAATGTGATTACTGGTGTACGGACAGGCAATCTGACGCCATCTGGGAGGGGCGTGAAAACCACGGGAGCGCAAAACACATACAGTCAGGTCCATAAATATTGGGGCATCTACACAATTCTAACATATTTGGCTCTATACACCACCACAATGGATTTGAAATGAAACTATCAAGATGTGCTTTAACTGCAGACTGTCAGCTTTAATTTGAGGGTATTTACATCCAAATCAGGTGAACGGTGTAGGAATTACAACAGTTTGCATATGTGCCTCCCACTTGTTAAGGGGCCAAAAGTAATGGGACAATTGGCTTCTCAGCTGTTCCATGGCCAGGTGTGTGTTATTCCCTCATTATCCCAATTACAATGAGCAGATAAAAGGTCCAGAGTTCATTTCAAGTGTGCTATTTGCATTTGGAATCTGTTGCTGTCAACTCTCAAGATGAGATCCAAAGAGCTGTCACTATCAGTGAAGCAAGCAATCATTAGGCTGAAAAAACAAAACAAACCCATCAGAGAGATAGCAAAAACATTAGGCGTGGCCAAAACAACGGTTTGGAACATGATTTTGTTATATATCATATATACTGACCGGATATTTGATTATATTTGGCACATCGTTTTTTGGTTTTTTTTTTATAATTTAGGGTGTACAGGGATATTGACAGATTTTTGCAGGGTAGTATCTGGCTTTGCAATTAAGTACACAAACACTTTTGGATACAATAGTCATTACGCAAGAGCATTCAATCACACAGAAAGCAATTTATTTAGGAAAAACACAATTTTTGATTTCGTATGGAGAAGGTGTGCGCAGTACTTTTTGAGTTATAATTTTATAGATATCTAGTATCAAGATATTGTGCGAGCAGCTACATATTATATTGTGAATTTGCACAGGTTTTTATTGTTTGTTCTGTATTTTTAACTTTAACTAAACAAAAGTAACCCTAACCTAACCCCTACAGGCATGGTATCATTGTGCCAGCATTGCTAGTGTACTTTACTTGCAATGGTCTTCTTGCTAATGAAGCCTGCTCAGTAATGGCTGTAGTCCACCAGATTTAGTACTGATGTCACATCGAATCAAAAGAGTGGGAATACCCCAGCAGAGGTCACTTTAGTGTGAAGTAGAGGTGTGAAGAGTGGAGGTCATATGACAGCAACTTATAAGGTAATTTTCTGATACAGAAAGGCTAAACTTTATTAAACAAATGCTGATATCTGCAAAAAACGCAATAAGGGAATGCAATAAAAAATGGCATTATGTTTTCTTGAAATTCAAATTTAATAAGCACATCATATTAATTGCTGAAACTTTGTTTTGTTTGATCTCCCACCTACACTCATACTCACAGATTAAATAACTCTTAAAGCAGAACTTCGCTCCCTATATCAGTGACTATTTTTAATCTTTATGCTGCTAGCATTAATAAATAGGTAGAAATGTATATCATTATTATCGTTTTTTTTAACATTTCTTCAATTACTTTCTGGTTTCCAGGCCTAGGCAAATTAAATCATACATCTCACTGACCTGCCTATTTCCTCCACTTTTCACCATTGCCATGATTATATTCTCTGTGGCCATGAAGGGCAGCTCTTGGCGAATTCTCCTTTCAATAACCTGAATGAGAAAGAGAAAGATGTCAACAAGAGTACTGACAGAAACAGGTTGTACGTAGGATTCTCATTAATTTCTAATGTCATTTTTACTTATGATCTTTGCTTGTGATACTGCTGCACACATACTGTTTTCCAATACGAGCTTTAAAGAGAAAAAAAAAATTCTCCCTAATACGATCAAAGAAAATCATTTACCGTAGAACTATGGTCTCCAAAAAATATAAACACACACACAAATATTGGCACCCCTGAATTTCTGTCAGATAATGCACCACTTCACCCAGAAAATTGTTGCAATTACAAATGTTTAAGAATTTTCATGTTTCTTTCTTTTGTTTGTATTGGTATGACACAAAAAAAAAGTGGAGAAACAAAAAGCCAAATCTGACAAATTCCACGCAAAACTCCAAAAATGGAGTTGATAAAATTATTGGCATCCTCAATGTATTATTTAGTAGCACATTCCTTGGAAAAAAATAACTGAAATCAATCGCTTCCTGTAACCATCAATGAGTTACTTACACCTCTCTATAGGAATTTTAAACCACTCTTCTTTCGCCAACTGCTCCAGGTCTCTCAGATTGGAAGGGTTCCTTTTCCCAACTGTTGTTTTCAGATCTCTTCACAGGTGCTCTATGGGATTGAGATCTGGACTCATTGCTGGCCAGCTGAGTACTCTCCAGTGCTTTGTCTTAAACCATTTGGTGCTTTTTGGCATGTGCTTTGGGTCATTGTCCTGTTGCAAGACCCATGACCTCTGATGGAGACCCAACTTTCTGACACTGGTCCCTACATTGCACTCCAGAATTCTTTTGTAGTCTTTAGATTTCATATTGCCATGCACATGGTCAAGACATCCAGTGTCTGAATAAGCAAAGCAACCCCAAAATATCAGTGAACCTCCACCATATTTGACTGTAGGGACTGTATTCTTTTCTTTAAAGGCCTCATTGTGTTTTCTGAAAACAGTAGAATGCTGGGCTTTACCAAAAAGCTGTAATTTTGTTTCGGCTGTCCACAGCACATTCTCCTAAAATGATTCTGGCTTCCTCAGGTAAGTTTTGGCAAACTTTAATCTGGCTTTTTTATGTTTCTGTGTCAGCAGTAGGGTCCTCCTGGGTCTCCTACCATAGCGCCCCTATTCATTCAGATGGCAATGTACAGTGCAAGCTGATACAGTTGTACCCTGTGCCTGAGGGTCGGCTTGAATTTGTCTGGAAGTTGATCAAGGTTCTTTATCCACCATTCAATCTTTTTTTGCAATCTTTGATCAATTTTTCTCTTTCGTCTACGTCCAGGGAGATTAGCTACAGTGCCATGGGCAGTAGCTGTCTTGACAATGTTGCGCACAGTGGACACAGGAACATTAAGATCTCTGGTGACTTGTAACCTTGAGATTGTCCATGTTTTTCTACAATTTTTGTTTTCAAATCCTCAGACAATTCTTTGCTGCTCTTTCACTTCTCCATGCTCCATGTGGCACACAAACACACAACAGAAAGGTTGAGTCAATTTTTCACCATTTTAACTGGTTGTCGGTGTGATTTTTATATTGTCAGCATCTGTTATAATTGATAATGGGGAGCCTAATTACAAATTACAGGTGCATCACAAACTTGAAATGCCATTATTTCTTACAATTTTGTGAACGTGCTAATAATTTTCCCAGTCCATTTTAGGGGTTTTCCGTGGAATGTGTCAGATTTGGCTTTTTTCTTTCTCCAGTTTTTTGAGTCATACCAGTAAAACAAAAAACATGAGAATGCTTAAACATTTGTAATTGCAACAATTTTCTAAGTGAAGTGAATATATCTGACAGAAATGCAGAGGTGCCATTATTTTTGGCCATGACTGTATACAGAGCGAGAAAGAAAACTGTGCAAAAGTCTTAGGCAGGTGTGAAAGAATGTCTTCAGAAAAGGTTAGTTTATTTTTAACAATGAACAAAATTAAACATAAATGAACAGAAGAGAAATCTAAATCAAATCAATATTTGGTGTGATTACCCTTTGCCTTTAAAACAGCATCAGTTCTATACACTTGCACACACAGTTTTTGAAGGAACTCGGCAGGTAGGTTGTTCCAAACATCATGGAGAATTAATCACAGCTCTTCTGTGGATGAAGGCTGCCTCAAATCCTTCTGTCTCTCCATGTAATCCCAGACAGACTCCATGATGTTGAGATCAGGGCTCTGTGGGAGCCAAACCACTACTTCTAGGACTCCTTGTTCTTTACACTGAAGATAGTTCTTAATGACACTGTCTGCATGTTTGGGGTCATTGGCCTGCTGCAGAAAAAATGTGAGGCCAATCACATGCCTTCCAGCATTGATGACTCCGTTGTTCCTGTTTTCATGCATAGTTGAGTTACTAAGTCTTGTTCCCATGTCCTATGCACGAAAACATAGGAACTGGGGTACAAAAAATGGCAGCTGATGCTCTGGACAGATGAGTCAAAATTTGAAATAAATGGTTGTAGGAAAAGGCAATGTGTTTGGAGAGCGGTATAATAATGAATATACACAGTCAACAGTGAGGCATGGTGAGGAGGTTCCTTGCAAGTTTGGGGCTGCATTTCTGCAAATGGAGATATAGATTTGGTTGGGATCACTGGTGTCCTCAATGCTGAGAAATACAGGCAGATACTTATCCATCATGCCATACCATCAGCGAGGTGTGTGATTAGCCCCAAATTTATTCTGCAGCAGGACAACTTCTATTTCTGAAAGCATTCTTAATTTACAGTATTTTATCACACTTGCTTAAAATTTCTGCAGATATATATACAGTGGGGCAAAAACGTATTTAGTCAGCCACCAATTGTGCAAGTTCTCCCACTTAAAAAGATGAGAGAGGCCTGTAATTGGCATCATAGGTAGACCTCAACTATGAGAGACAAAATGAGAAACAAAATCCAGACAATCACATTGGCTGATTTGGAAAGAATTTATTTGCAAATTATGGTGGAAAATATTTGGTCACCTACAAACAAGCAAGATTTTGGGCTCTCACAGACCTGTACCTTCTTCTTTAAGAGGCTCCTCTGTCCTGCACGCATTACCTGTATCAATGGCACCTGTTTGAACTTGTTATCAGTATAAAAGACACCTGTCCACAACCTCAAACAGTCACACTCCAAACTCAACAAAATTGTAGACCTGCACCAGGCTGGGAAGACTGAATCTGCAATAGGCAAGCAGATTGGTGTGAACAAATCAACTGTGGGAGCAATAATTAGAAAATGGAAGACATAAAAGACCACTGATAATCTTCCTCGATCTGGGGCTCCACGCAAGATCTCACCCCGTGGGGTCAAAATGATCACAAGAACGGTGAGCAAAAATCCCAGGACCACACGGGGGGACCTAGTGAATGACCTGCAGAGAGCTGGGACCAACGTAACAAAGGCTACCATCAGTAACACATTACGCCGCTAGGGACTCAGATCCTGCAGTGCCAGACGTGTCCCCCTGCTTAAGCCAGTACATGTCCGGGCCCGTCTGAAGTTTACTAGAGAGCATTTGGATGATCCAGAAGAGGATTGGGAGAATTTCATATGGTCAGATGAAACCAAAATAGAACTGTTTGGTAGAAACACAACTCGTCGTGTTTGGAGGAGGGAGAATGCTGAGTTGCATCCAAAGAACACCATACCTACTGTGAAGCATGGGGGTGGCAACATCATGCTTTGGGGCTGTTTCTCCGCAAAGGGACCAGGACGACTGATCCATGTACAGGACAGAATGAATGGGGCCATGTATCGTGAGATTTTGAGTGCAAACCTCCTTCCATCAGCAAGGGCATTGAAGATGAAACGTGGCTGGGTCTTCCAACATGACAATGATCCCAAACATACCGCCCGGGCAATGAAGGAGTGGCTTCGTAAGAAGCATTTCAAGGTCCTGGAGTGGCCTAGCCAGTCTCCAGATCTCAACCCCATTGAAAACCTTTGGAGGGAGTTGAAAGTCCGTGTTGCCCAGCAACAGCCCCAAAACATCACTGCTCTAGAGGAGATCTGCATGGAGGAATGGGCCAACATACCAGCAACAGTATGTGCCAACCTTGTGAAGACTTACAGGAAACGTTTGACCTCTGTCATTGCCAACAAAGGATATATAACAAAGTATTGGGATGAACTTTTGATATTGACCAAATAATTATTTTCTACCATAATTTGCAAATAAATTCTTTCCAAATCAGCCAATGTGATTGTCTGGATTTTTTTTCTCATTTTGTCTCTCATAGTTGAGGTCTACCTATGATGCCAATTACAGGCCTCTCTCTCATCATTTTAAGTGGGAGAACATGCACAATTGGTGGCTGACTAAATACTTTTTTGCCCCACTGTATTTTACACACAGTGGATATAAAAGCTATATACACCCTTGTAAAATGCCAGGTTTTTAAGATGTAAAAAAAAAAAAAAATCAGACTAAGATAAATCAATTCTGAACTTTTCCACTATTAATGTGACCTATAATACAGTATGTGCAATTCAATTAAAAACAAACTTGACAGCGGCTCTTTACCACGTGATCGATGTGTTCAATCACAGCCAAAAACAAGAAAAATATCAACTAAATTTGATACTGTTACTGGTTTCTCCTTCTTCACATACAGACCACATGTGAGAAGGAGAGACTGGAGCTGTGAGTTAACAGGTTTAATCCTTGCTTTATTGTTGCCACACAGAGCGACCTGATTGCAGCAGGGTACCTGTCACACAGAGCAGCCATTATCAGTGCCCTGATTTCATCAAGTATCCATCACACCAGTGCATCCATCAATGCAGCTGTCATTGGTGCCCTGATTGCATCAAGAGTATCTGCCACACCAGTGCAACCATCATCAGTGTGCTGATCAGCCAGTCTACCTATCGGCCATTCACTATGTCCCTGATTGCAGCCACACCTGTCCTAGTGCCACCAAAGCCAGCCACGTCCAAACAATTTTACACCAGCAAGGAAGTATTTCAAATTCTCAGCATGACAGATGAGAGC